GAGTCACGGCCGGCTGCCGGCACCAGATGGGCCGTCGTGTCGGCAATTGTCCTGAAAGTAACCCAAAAGTTACGTCCTGAGCCTAAAGTTTCAAAGTTGGGTGGTGCTTCTGCTTCTTTTTTGTGGGGGTTCATCTCCCCCGTCTGCATGATGGAGGGAGACTTAAGGGCCTGTAGTGACAGGACAACAGGCAACGGATTTAAACTGAAAGAGGATCGGTTTAGCGTTTAGCTCAGATATAAGGAAGAAATTCTTTACTCTGAGGGAACAGGTTGCCCAGAGAAGCCGTGGATGCCCCACCCCTGGAGGTGTTCAAGGCCAGGCTGGATGGGGCTTTGAGCAACCTGGTGTAGTGGAAGGTGTCCCTGCCCATGGCTGGGGGGTTGGACTAGGCGATCTTTGAAGGTCCCTTCCAACCCAAACTGTTCTGTGATTCTATGATCTTTGTCTTCATAAAAAAAAATAACCTGAGAAGGTGGTTGCAGAACTAGGCAAAGAAGGGTTAGAATTTTTCTGATGACTGAGCAACGAGAGTCAAAGTTTACCAAGAGTTTGCTGATACTAGGAATGATGTGGTATATAGCAGAGTGAGAATCAAGTCCCTTCTCCGAACTGCTCACACCCCAGATCGTGTCCCATTCCATATCAATATCCAAACCTTAAACAGTTTGGGCTGTCTCTTGTTCTCTTTTTTTATCCACACACACAAACTTAGTCCTGTTTTTAAGTGATTGAGTATGTGAGTATTCTCCCTCATGTGTGAAACTTATTCATCTCTTGCTATCATGACTCATTTCACTGTCAACTGAGTAGCTGGTTTGAAGATGGCTATCCATCTTCAAAAGAAACAAAATTAAGTATTTATTCACCCAAGTTATATGAATGCTGCAGAATTTACCACAGAGCATTGTGTTGCTAAAGTTTTGCAGGCATTCAAAAGGAGTTGATCAAAATCAAAATCCTTCAAGGCGTATGAAAGAAGAAGTTGTATTTGCCTAAATAAATCCTTGAACCACAGGCTCCTAGAAGCTGGGGAAGCTTCCCCTGTTAAGGGAAGTATAATTTTATGTTATTATAGTCTTTCATTTCCCTAGGCACTCTCACTGCTAGCTGTCTGAGGCATGGTACTAGGCTGATGGACCCTTGGTTTGAGGTGGCACAGTCATTTCTTAGGTAGCCCCAGCTCCTAAATTCTATGCCTTTAAGCTGTCTCCCAGATGCTGCCTCCTGCTGTACATGTGTGTGTATGTGGTTAGGAGGCTGATTTTTGGTCTAGTGGTGTTGCTTTTTAATACTGCTTCATTACTCTATGAGAACCTGGACAGCAAATAAATATAGCTTCCAATTCCATAGCTTAGCAGCTACCTTGCTACTGCATAATAGTAAATGTGGTAGAATACGTTTCCAGTGACACTGGCAGACAGGAGCATGTTTTGTTTCAACATATCTTGGTTTATTTGTGACTATTCTCTACTATAATTAGGACACAGCAATGTGTTAGATGCTGAATTACAGATGTAAAAATTATATTATTAAATGTAATAATTCTTAAGTGCATTTTTGTGTAACAGTGTTACAGCTCTTGGTGATACATACTATCTAGTTCTTGTAAGGTCTCTATGTGCGTCCTTTCCAGGGGATAGCTGACTTCTCTGCTTCTCCTTGTGTGAAGCCCCACAATTTATTCTGTATTGAGACTGCGTTTAGGTCACTATAGCTGTGTTCACCACCTTCTCGGTTTTGCCAAGAGGAGCTGTTGGGTTCTCACGGGAAAATGTGAACAGTGTAAAAATGCAGTGTCAAAGACCAGGAATTTAAAAGGAAATTTTATATATTTAATAACAAGAACATAAGAAACTGAAAAAGAAAAGGTAAAAGTAACAGGAATATGCATATGTGCTCAGGATGGTGGTTGCTCAGGACAAAAGCACTTGGGAACTAGGTGGAGTGGAACTGAATGCATGTGATACATGCTGCACCTAACTTGCAGTCTTACAGTTCATCTGTCAGCCCTGGAGTTCTGGGAGAGGCTGTGGCCAAACAACCGACTTATGCTGTGGATAAGTACTGATAAATACTGATTTTGGGAGCCCAAAGAGCTCATGCTCAGGGAAGTTATTTCTTTGAAGAAGAGGAAGACAACAGAATTTAGCCCGGATGTATGGCATCTGATTTCTGACACTTGACCAAGACATGAAAACCAGGAGCTAGGTTACCCTTTATACTCTGATGTCAGTGTAGGGAGAGAGAATTTTAGTACTTGAATTGCTTTACAGAAGTTTTTATGACCTTGTATTAACTATACAGAGAACCTAAGGCAAACATGCCCTTAACTTAGTTTCTCAGCTCTGTTGAATGAATCCCAGCTTCTGGGCCTGGAAAATCTGCCAAAGAAACCAAAGGGGAAAACTGTACTGTAGCCTACTTACAGCATCTAACCAACCTTCAATATCTTTTCTGGGGATCTGGTTTGAGAATGGAGGGCTGACCAGGCCAGTGACTGCATGAAACTGTGCAAATGAAATTTCCATTTAGATTTAAGAAAAGAGTTGGGAATGATAAGGTCTAATTTGTCAGGAAAGTGGGAGTTACAGACTATTATTAGATGTACCTAACCTTGAATAGAGGAAGTGCTAGCAAATTACTGGACCTTCAGCTGGCTCAAGAAGATTGATGCATAATCCTTCAGTCATTTCATTTTTATAATAAGCTATGTTTTTTTTCTTTATTTCTTTCCATATAATGCTACCCCCTCCTAGCCTTTGTTCCTTTGGAAATTTTAAATAACAAAAAGTGCAGGAATGAACTGAAAGTTGCACTAGAACTACCATTTTCAAGAAAAAGCTGAATATTAAATAGGCAAATGAACTGTTCTCAAGTCAGAAGACCTGCCATCTTGAGAGGCAAAGCTCATGAGGCAGAACAAAGACTTGGGATAATAATGGGAATTTTAATCTCACTTCTAGATCATCTTTTCTGATTCTTACCCCATTCAGGGATGAATGGCTGGCTTGCAGAAACAAACAAACATGTATTAAGCCTTTCAACCTCTGTGGGCTTAGGCTGACCAAAAGATCAGTCACAGTCTATTGGCTATAAGCCACGGTTTTAAATCTTACATTAGATGTGAAAGCAAGTGAGAGACCTTACCGCCTCTGTATTTCTGCAGAAAAAGTGAATACCACAGCAACATTTATGAAGAGGATACTTT